CCTCCCCCTCCGAGCCCCACCTCCCCCTCCACCGGATGCCACTCCGCCCTGGAGCACCCAGGAGGTTGTTTTGGCTGATTCTGCTCCCCCTGGCTTAGCCAGCAGAGCTACACAGGGAAATGTGCTCAAAGCTTTTAGAGAAGGGTTCTCAGGCCTTCCCTGCTCACGACTGGGTTGTGGCTTGAGTGCCAACCTTCACAGTTCCGGGTGGGTGCAGCTGGGGGCAGGCTAATGAGGGCGGGTGGGGTGGCTGAGGGTACGGACTCCGGAACGGGTCAGACTTGAAGTAGGATCCTGGCTCAGGACCCAGGGCGGCATTCAGGTGAGGCCAACCAGGTGAGTCCCAGAGTCTTTTTTGAAACTGTTACTATTTTGTCCATGAGGGATTTTGAAATGTTGATTTACAAAACGTTGCATTAAAATACATAGTTTGCCTTAGTTGCTGAGTTTTGGGGGCAACCCCGTACATTTGTGCCTTTGGCAAGGGCCTGAGCCACCTGGCCATAGACCCAGCCCTGCTCTGTGACCTTGAGCAGACAGACACTCCTGAGCCATGGTTTTCTCAGCTGTAAGATGCGGACGGTGTTGGTCACCTCACATGTCATTGGTGGAACTCTGCCCTCAGCTCAGGTCCTGGGGAGGAGCAATGACACATTCCATAGTAAAACTACTGCTAATAACAGCCGGAGCTTTTTCTCTGGCAAGTTAGAGCCCCCAGCCTTGTCTTCCTAGCCCCCATTGGCGACATCAGCTCCCTCTGCTGCTAAGGGCCTTCCAACCCAAGCCAGCTTTTAATGTGGGTGGGTAGGAGGTGTGGATGATACAGGCCAGGCTTGGGTGCTAATCTCTCTCTGCTCTGCAAACAGATGGCTTGAAGAAGGATTTGGATAACTTGTGGGCTTTGGGGTCATGCTGTTTTCAACCATTTTCGTTGGTTTGGCTCAAAACCCCATGGAGTTCCTGAAACTAAAAAGAGAACCTATTTTTTATTTTCCTGTCTTCCTCCCTTCTTTCCTCCCTTCTCCCTCACTCCCTCTCTCATCCTTCCTCCTTCTCTCTCTCTTTTCTCCTCCTCTTTCTCCTCCCTGTCTCCCTCCCCTCTATGGCACAGTCTGTCCCATGCACTGTGCACCATGCTAGATGCTGGTGGTGTCAAGGACAGTGTGACAGGATGGAGCTCACAGAGTGCCACAGCGTCCATCAGTGTGAATACCCCATCATCGATTATTTCCCATTTGTGGATTTAAGTTTATCATTTACCTGCACTCAGTCCTAGAGAGCTGTTTAAAAAGCCAACCTAGTTGCATTTCTTTCCTTTCAATGATTTCAAGCATCAAAGGTTCCCCAAGTAAAAGGAAATGCAGCACAAGGCCGTTCGGGCCATAAGGAGAAATGCAAGAGCAGGTACGTGCGTGACTGGAAGCATAGGCCTGCGGTGCAGGCCCACCTTGGCACCTGAGCTGGTGGTCTGCTTGCTGCCATGGAGATGTGCTTTCTTGGAACCCCTACATCTGTGGTTTCTAAACCAGCACTAGTTAGGCTGCTGGGACGAGTGAACCAAAAAGACAAACCATCTCTAGCTGGGTCCAGGGACCTCCTGGGGGAATGGACTTGAATTTGTGGCCTATGAACAGTGCTTCTAGGAGCCCCCTGCCAGGCAGAGCGCAGAAATTGCCACCATCCCTGGTAAAAATCCTGCACAACGGCCAGACTCCAGAACCCCTCCCCCACTTTCTTCTGCCAAGATAATTATTAATTATCTGGTTCTATGGCGAAGGGGGGCTGGTCGTTGAGAGAATGAATGCGGTTTGGGTTTTGGTTGAAAATCTAGAAAGAGACTGAAGTCAGTGGGGGTTCAGCGTACAGAGAAAGGTGGACCCACCAGCCAAGAGGTCTGCTGTCGTCCTGGCTGGGCTGCTCAGTAGCTCCACAGCCCTCCGTCTTTTCTGGCAGGACTAGATCCTTCTCAGGTCCCTCCCAGCTCGCGAGCCCTGCTTCCAAAGGCTCCATTGCAACACTCTGGAGGCCCAGGCCTGCTTCCTGCTCCTGCCGTCCCCGTCAAGGTGCACACCAGCATCAGCACCCCCCCCGCACCCCCGTCAAGGTGCACACCAGCATCAGCACCCCCCCATCAAGGTGCACACCAGCATCAGCACCCCCCCATCAAGGTGCACACCAGCATCACCAGCATCAGCACCCCCCCATCAAGGTGCACACCAGCATCAGCACCCCCCCACAAAGGACTTGCAAGAATTTCAAGCCAACCAGGTGAGGGTCCAGACCAGCTCTACATCCCCCACCTCCAGATGATACTTATGGAACTCTTTGTTTGGTTAAATCTCTCATGGGGTGTTGCCAGGAAACCCAGCCAGAAGGTGGAATGTCCCCAAATGCCAACCAGCAGGGAAACAGCAAAAACAGGGGCACAGGCCACACCTCTTTTGACAAGCCATCCCCACATGGCATTTACTGGCCGGGGATTAGGAGGACTTGAGATGGAAAGCTGTTTGGAGGGGCTGGGACAGCAGTAGCACATGGGTCACTGGCCTCAGGCAGCTTTGTACCCCAGCTTGTTGAGTGAATTCAGGCCTCCTTACGCTCTATTTTCCACATGAGAAGGGGGTGGGGACGGTGGGGGAAGGAAGCCAACAAATGATTCCCCAAGGCCTCTCCAGGTTGGAACCTTCGGGGACTCTACCCTGGGTCATGCAAGGCAGTCAGAGGGGCCCCAGTTGTGTGTGGGGGACCCTTCAGCCAGGGTCAGCTCAAGTGAGGGAAGGCGTTTCACCAATGCGACAGGATACCTAAGAAGGTGGAATCCGACCTGGGGCTTTGTGCAGGCACAAATAATTAAAGAGGAGAGAAGAGGCAAGGTGGGGGAGGGACGGAGCAACGGAGGGAGGGAAGGCCCGGAACCTCCTAGGCCTCAGCCTCGGACTGGCCAGCGGGTGGCGCTGTAGGACAAGGAGCTGAGGGACCGTCTGAGGCCAGCCGCTTCGGGCTGGGGCAGAGAGCACCCAGGGGCCAGGTTCTCCAAGGATGGAGGGTGCTGCTCGCAGGACACCTGCCACAGCCACAGCAAGTTCCACAGCATGCTGCCCGCCTTCTGGGGCCAGACCTGACGATCAGATGTACAAGAGCTATCTCCTGCAGCGTGCTCTAGCCGAGTCCACATTACCCCTTGGCCCAGGTCCTGGGCAAAGCAGGCCTGGAGGGGCCACTTACCTGGGCCTTGCTCTCGTTGCCAGAGAAAAGCTTGCCCCACCCTCCTGTGGACAGAGCCTAATTTCAGGTCCTTCAGGAAATTCTGTGTCCTAATTCCCCTTCCCCTTCCCATAGGGGATTTGGGAGCAAAAAGGTGGCTTCAGTTCAAAATATTTCTATCTCCTTGATGCTCCCACACACAAAGGCTTTTGTTCTTTTGAACATCCCGCCCTCACCCCTCAATTGCTCCCAGGGTCTGATTGCCCTTTTCCACTTTATTAATAAGAAAATAATAATTCACATTTATCTACTGCTTAAAAGTGCCAGACCCTGCGCTAATCGTGTCGTACACATTCTTTGATGGTGTCATTGTCTCGCTTGAGCGGACGTCCTGTGCTGTGTTGGGGTTCTGTCTCACAGGTGAGACACAAAGAGGTTAGGACGCTTGCTCAAGGCCGCACAGAATTCAGCGGGTGGAGATGGGCTTCCTGCTCTTGGCCCAAGGAGCGGCCGCCCGGCTCAGTGGCCAGGTCCCTTGGCCGCTCCGTGCTCCCACCCCAGGCTGGCTCCTGCTCTCTGGGGGTTGGAGGCCTTCAGGCGGCTTAGCCAGGATGAGAGGGCATGGTTGTTTCCTCTGGCTCGTGTGGTGGGAGGGGGATTTCAGGCCTTTTGGATGGGTCAGGGTCTGGGAAGGCCCTTGCTGAACCGGATTCCTGACGGGGTTAGTGTGTGCAGCATTTTTATGGACTCGGCTTCTGATGGGCTGCAGTGTGTATGTGGTGGGGGTTGGGGGTGCTGCTCAAGAAACTCACTCAGGTCTCTAATCACCAGACTCAGCTGTGTCTCCCTGCCAGGCACAGCCTAGAGCGGGCAGGAGGGGGCGTGAGTCACAGCGGACATCACGCGGTGGCTCGTCCCATAGGTATCACTGGGCACTTCCCACGTGCTGAGCTCTGGATCTGAGACCTGGACCCCAGGCAACTTCCCTCCTCTAGGAGGCGGTAAACAAGGGATCATTGTTTTGCAGAGAATAAAACAGGTTGGTGTGAATTTACCACATTTCAGGGAAGGCCTTTTGAGTAGGGACTTGACTTTTGAGGATGATCTGAACTACAAGATGGGGCGGGAAGGTGACAATTTGGGGCCCAGGTGTCCCAGGCCAAGGGCAAAGCAAGCAGAAAGTCTAAGGCAGGAGTGAGCGCCGTGGCTGAGGGGCTGCTTGGAGGAGACTGGGTTGTGAGGCTGGAGCAGGGAGATGGTTAAGGAACCGACTGTGATTCTCCAGAGACGCTGGGGCTCAGGGAGAAGGAATGTTGAGAGGCTTGTTGATGGATCAGATGTGAGAGGTGAAGGAAACAGAGTAATGAAGGCTTTTGGCTTCAACAGCTGGGTCGATGGTGATCTCATTTATGAGATGGAAAAACGGAGGGCGAAGCAAGTTCGGTGAGGAAAAAAAAAATCGGATGTCCTGTCTCAGCTGTCCTGTCTTAGTTTGAGATGACTATCAGACACTTGAGTGGCAGCATCCGTGAGCAGTTGGGTAAGTGAGTCTGGAATTCTGGGCAGGAATCCTCAGACTAGAAATGGGATTTAAAATCCTGGGACTGAGCCTGACTCCGTCCAGGCACTGTCGGGGTGTCTCGGAGGAGGTACACTACCTCGAAGAGTCTCCCTGTGGTAACAGCATCCCCTGAAAAGTTGGAGGTGGGTTCTCGCACCAAGTATAGCTTCATTGGTTCAGATGATGACACAAGAGGAGGATGATAAATAGTATTTTAATGTAAAATAAACCAGTTTATAATTTGTGGGGAGAAGCCAAAGAAAATGCAGAAAGGTTGAGGTGAGAACTGCCCAGGAGTTTGGCTGAGAATTCCTCAGCCTGTGCCCTTTCAGCCCGCCCACTTGCCCGCAAGGCTCAGTCTGAGTGGAGAAGCCCATCTTGTCCTGCCTGGTTGAGAAGGCGGCCCATGGAGGAGGTGGGGGCAAGCATTAGGTCTTCCTGCCAAGCTCCCAGTGAGACGTCGGGCATCCCCCAAAGAGCAGTTAAAACTCATGTTTGGAATATAAAATGATGGCTTTCAGAGTGTTACTGTCATGCTTTCTGCAGGAAATACCTGGGTTGTTCTTAACGCTTAATGGGCAGAGCCTTGAAACCAATCCTTAGCCTGGAGTCTAAAATTTGCCTTGGAATTTGGGTTTCTCTTGTCAGGTGAGGGCTTATGAAGAGAGGTGGGGGGCCTTCCATGGGAAGGGAAGCCCCTAGGTAGAGGTTGCTGGGGCTAAGCTGAGCTGGTGTTGGCTAACCTAAGGAGGGGGACTGTTAACAAAAATAATTAACCTAAGACCTGAATCTGAGGTCCTGGCAGAAACAGAGCCCATGTAAAAATAGGGAGTGTCTTATGTGAGTTGGTGTCTTATGTGGAATTTTCTACTATGTCAAGAAGGCTTTAGGGGTGGGTGTAGTTGCCCATCCGCAGGGTCCCCTGGCGCACGGCACACTCTTCCCGGTGGGCTTTGAATGCTCTCTGGCGATCAGCCTCGGTGGGGAAGGTATCGAGATGGGGGCCCACCTGTGGACAGAAGGCAGAGCAGGTCAGTGGGCATGAGTGCCCTGGGGGGCTCCTCCCGGCTGCTCCCCTCCCCCTTCTCTCTCTTGTCTGCCCCTACTTCCACTTAGAGCAATAATAAAACAGCTGTAAGAGGGAAAGAAGTGAAGAGTAAGTGCTGTGAGTGTCCTGGCACTGGGTGGTGCGAGCTAGGGGACAGAAGGCAGCCGGAGCGGGGTTGCCCAGGTACCAGGGCGCCGGCGTCTTCCCTTCTACCCAGCTCATTGCCAGGGAAGATGTGTGCATAAAACATACCACCTGCCCATGACTGGAGTCACCGTGCAGTGGGACCTAATAGCCAGTGTCACCCTTCACATGCTGACTTTCCACCATTAACCCCCCTGAACAAGCCCCCGTCTTCAAGGGGACCTCCTGGTACTGGCACCCTCCTTCATGGGAGGGAGGCAGCCCCCCCAGGAGTCAAGGCGCCGACACTGGACGGTACCAGAGCCAGAGTTCAGGATCACTGTCACCTCTCCCTCCCAGAGGACACATGTGAGGGGGACAGATCCAAGGAGTGGGAGCCTCTTCAGTTACAATTTTATCCAATCGTATTTTAGCCAGCTCTTCCCTCTCAGGAAGTGGTGGTGGGTGAAAACCCCTCCTGTCTCCTGGGTCTGTTACTCACCTCCAAGCGTGAGAAAAATGCCTCTAAAATGGCATTTCTCCTTTAGGGTAACCTAAGGGAGGCACAGGGTAGAAAGGGTTCAGGCTTACTTGTTTGTTAACTCCTTCCTTCCTTCCTTCCTTCCTTCCTTCCTTCCTTCCTTCCTTCCTTCCTTCCTTCCTTCCTTCCATCCTTCCTTCTTAATGTCTCTCCTGAGGCCATGTGCAGAGCCGATGTAACCTCCCGGTTCCCTGAGACCAGCATCTGCTGCCTTGCTCCAGGACACTGTCAGCCCCTCCCCCTTCCCCCCACCAATACAAGTCTGGGCCACCGCTTAGGGTCAGTGAGACCCATACCTCAGGTCTGACCTCAGGTCCAGGGAGCCATGCTCATCGTCAGGGGAGAGCAGGCATATCAGGGTGCATGAGGGCCCAAAGGAATCCATCTTGACAGTTCACCATTTTACAGATGGGGAAACTGAGGCCCAGAGGTTTGGTTCAGGGTTGGCCCCACAAGGTATTGGTGGCAGAGTAACTTTGTTTTTTTTTTTAAATTTTTTTTTTTTAAAGATTTTATTGGGGAATTGGGGAAGGGCACCAGCCAAGTTGTTGTTCTTCAGTCTTCATTGTGGAGGGCTCCAGTCGCCATCTGGCTACCAGTCGGCAACTCGTGGCCTCTAAGCTCAAGGTGCTGTGTTACAATCTTAGTTGCAGGTGGGCGTAGCCACCATCCCATGCGGGAGTCGAACCCGGCAGCCTTGTTGTTAAGAGCGCACACTCTATCCACTGAGCCATCCGGGCGGCAGCTCAGCTCAAGGTGCCAACTTCAGTCTTAGTTGCGGGCGGGTGTAGCCCACTATCGAACAGGCAGTGTTGTTGTTACACCAGCTGAGCCATCCTGTCACATATTGGCAGCTCAGCGACAGCTCAGCTCGGGCACAGCGTCATTAGCTTACGTGGGAATCGAACCAGTGGCCCTGTTGCTCAGAGCTCACACTCTTAAGCCAACTCTTAACCAACTGAGCCACTCTGCCAGCCCAAGAAACTTTTTTTCTCACTGCCCCCCACCACTCTCTCGGCACTAAGTTCTGGATTTTTTCTAGAATATTCTGCTGCAGCTGCTGCTTACGCTGAGGGGACAGGGGGTTGCAGAATCTTGTTAGAAAACTGTGAAAATCAACTGATGCTGAGTAGATTTAGTTAGTTATTCCAGGACATAAAACCACGTTCTTCCTCTCTGGGGGATGTAGACCCCCTCCACGACTCTGCACAAAGCCATGGACTCTCTCCTCTGGGGGAAAGAATACAAGTCCTAACATACAAAGCCGTGCAGTCCAGCTCGGGGGGTTCGGGGACCCTTCACAAGTCCCTCCACGGACCCGCCCTCCATGGCAGCATTTCTGGGAGTCATCCTGGCCCCAGCCTGAGGTTTCGGATTTCTTGGACATGTATCAGGACCACCGAAGGGTCTGGTAACCCAGGGCAGGCCCTCACCACAGGCTGAGCCCACCCAGACGCAAGGCTTAATACCAGTGTTCAACCCATTTGATCGATCAAAGCACGATCTTGTTCTCAGCTCAATCTCCAAGTTTCAGAAAAATTCCCAAGTGGCCTCTCAAAAGTTATTGAGAAGAAAGGGAAACAGCCAGAAAACAAAAGGCTCCCAAGGTACACCTGTGTGTCCCCTCTGGCAAGGGATGGCTTGATTTTTACACTGTGACATGATTTTCCTGACACCCGAGGTTCCCAGAAGGCAGCTAGCGATGCTCAGGGAGGCTGGCGCCTCAGGTCTCCAGGGGCCTCATGGGCACCCCGCCTGATTCGTGCGCCCAGCCGTCTGGGGCTCCCAGGTCTCCTGTAGCATTCAGAGTGGCAATAGTTCTGTCCCTCCAATGGCTCTCAACAGGGGAGCGTAGCTCTGTGGTCCACATCTCTGCCATCTCCACACCCCCTGGCCCTTGTAGTGGGCTGAATGGTGACCCCCCAAAGGACATGTCCATTTCTTAACCCCTGGGACCTGTGAATGGGACCTTATTTGGAAAAAGAGTCTTTGAAGGTGTAATTAAGGATCCTGAGATGAGCACATCCTGTTATTCAGGTGAGCATCCTGGAAACCATCCTTACAAGAGGCAGAACACACAGAGGAGCAGGTCACGTGAAGATGGAGCCATGATTTGGAGTGATGCAGCCACAGCCAAGGACCACCAGGAGCCACCAACAGCTGGAAGAGGCAAGATGATGGTGGGTGCTGGTGATGGTGGGTGCTGGTGATGGTGGGTGCTGGGTGGTGTTGATTTGGTGCTGATGGACCCCTCTAAAAACTGACTCAAACAAAGCTTACCCCCATGTGGGATAGGTCTTTAGAAAGAGAAGGGAAATTGGGCCTATTCTGTAGCCATGAAATCCCCAAGCAGAACACGGGAGACCATCGAGAGGGGAGTTCCAGCTCTCAGAATGACAAGCACAGCGCGCCCCTCAGCACAATTTGTCCTGAAGGCCCACAGCTGGGTCTTCAGTTGCTCCCGTCAACAGCGATGTAAGAGACTTGCTGTTTCGCCGAGCAGTGCATTTATTTCACACAAGCCCCAGAACATCCAGCCATTGTCTCCATTTTACAGATGGGGAAATGGAGGCACCAAAAGGTTGAGTCACTTGCCCCAGGTCGCACAGACTGAACCGAGAGCCGTGGGACTCTAGGCCCAGATCTTCATGGCTAAACTCCACTTCCTCATAACAAATGCTTAAGAAACGAGTCGAGTGAAAGTCACTGCTGGAACATGTGGCTCCTATCCCACAGGCTCGCTCTCCCCTCCTAAAATAGCAGCTCAGCCAGAGACCAGGATCCTAATTACAAGTCAGCCCTCAAGCTGTGTGTGGTCACGACCTTGTGGACCCCCGGAGTCAAAGGATGAGAGCTGTGGAGCAAGGAATTCCTTCGGAGATGCTTCTAAATTAAGCCATCTGCAGTCTGTCTCCGCCTGGAGCTAAGAAATTGTAACGGCTTTGGCAGGAGACAGCTCTGCTGAATGGAGCTGAGTCGCTCTGAGGTCAGTGCAGGTAAATAAGAGGCGAGTGCCAGGGCCGCCAGCAGCCCTGGGAGCAGGGCGGGCGGGGGTGGCTCTACCCGGGTTGGCCAAGGTGCTGGTCCTGCTCGAATGGGGAGCATCGAAACAGCTTTGCCCTCCGCAGGCCCCAGCGCCTCACCACCGGGGCCACACTGGTGAGTAAGACAGGCCGAGGCGCTTGCCCACATAGGCCCTGCGAGATGGCACGGAAGGCGGCCGCCCAACACACTCCGCCTGTAATCGTTTAATGCAATTTAATAAGACTGTGGGCTGGGGAACGCTAACTCCATCTGGGGGCAGGAAGGTCTTTCTAGAAACAATGAGGCTGCTAGCAAAGGGGAAGAGTGTCCCGGATGGTGGAACCAGCCAAAGCCCTGAGGTGGGAAGAATTGGGCAAATTAGAGGAAATGCAAGCAAACCAGTGTGGCTTGGGGACGAGATGAGGCGGGGAGGTGAGCAGCTGTCAGGTCTTACAAGAGAGCTGTAGTCAACCCTGCTCCAAGGAATCACAACCCCCTCCATCCCGGGATACTGGATTGAAATACAAGATTCTTGGAAAGCTAGGGGTTGGGAGAGGTCTGGGAGATACTGAATCCCACTCTCCCATTCTACATGTGGCCTGGAGGTGGGAAGCGATGCTCCCAGGGTGTCCGGGAGGCAGAGCTGAGACCTGCAGCCAGCTCAACCACTGCCTCTCCCTCAGGTCCACTCCCTGCCCACTTGTGGCCCCTGAGACCTAGATTCTTGGGTTCCATTTCCCGATTGATTTGAAAGCATCTGCACTTTTCTGATTCACTTTCAGTGAGCCAATTTTTCATTTGATTGATACCCTTAATTGTGCCTTTGGCGTTTTGTAGTTTTGCTCTTGACGTCATTGTTTTCTTCTTTGAGGTTACGCAGTTGTTTCTTTTCTAGCATCTAGAGTTGTCTGCTTAGCTAATTACCTTTTAATCTGTGTTTCCCTATCTGAACATTTATATAACATGCCATTAGCAGCCAAGTGGCCCTCTCAGTGTTCTTTTATCTCATCTCAAGTTTTGAGCGTATTTATTTTTTTGTTCAGTTCTCTTTTCATCTAATTTCTATGGAATTTCTGTTTGGATTTCTTCTTTGGTCCTTAAGTTATTTATAAATATGCTTTCAAATTTCGAGGCAATTTTCTTAGTAACATTTGTGACTGGTTTCTAATTTATTTTCTTTGGTGCCAAAGTAATCTGTGTGAATTAGACGCTTTTGGTAGTATTTGTTGAGTTTTTGCTTTTAATGCTTGTTTGGACAGTTTGATCTACTTTC